GACCGCATTTGGCCCACGGGCCTTGAGTTCGACACGTGTGTTACAGATGTAACTAGTCTAATTATTTATCAGCAGCAGTACAGCGCAACGTAATGAGCTAAAGAGCTAACACTACGTAGATGCTAACATCGTCCTCTGTTTCAGCTGAGATCGTGTGGAACGCAATTTGAGAAGCTAATTTCTGAGTCCGTGTGACTGAATGCAGATTTTGGGAAATGTTTCATAGTCACTCAATATGAAAAAAAAAATTAGCCCTGAAGGAAATTTACTTTTTGTATTTGCCATCAACTAGCGTCCCGCGGACCGAATCTGACCCGCTGAACCGTCCACTCGGGTCGGCAACTGAATTTAAAAAATAAACATCAAATAATAATGTTAGGTTAATATTTTATCGCAGTGTTCGGCCCCAAAGTGTCTCTGCAGGAACATTCTGACAAATGTAGTCATTCAATCGAAGGGAATCAGAATCGCCGAGTCAGCAAAATATCAGAACCACAAAACACTACAGCTCTTATGTACAAGTGTGTACAGTGAAAATACAACAGCTATGACACGCTAATGGTTTACTTTGTCAATGACACAGAGTTATTTTTCACACTTTTCTGAAAGAAAGAAAAAAAGGTTCTTCACTTTTCGGCCAGTGCAGCAACTTCTGGGACTTTCATCTTCACCGTATCAGTGCTGAGCCAACAGGCTCTGATTCAATGTGGATGACTCAGATTAAATATGAAGTGAAGACTCAGTGGCCTCTGATTGAATTCAGACCTGCTAAGTTTGTCGGCGTTTCCGTTTTATTTTCCTTTGTCGGAGTTTATTTGAATATGATTAAGTTTGCTGTGTCGGCTGAGGGATGATAACAAGTGCGAGGAGCGGCAGAGAACCTGTGTTAGGCCCCAGGTTGTGCTGCCGAGGTGATTTAAATAACACTGTCTGTCTCTCATTTCATTAATACACGCCCCCCCCCACCCTCACAGAGCCTGGGGCCGTGCAGCTACAGCAGCCACTGAATGAAATTCTGTTTCTCAAAATGAGCCGCGTACTTGAAAGTGATGGTAATCTCAGATGTAGAAATTGGAAAAGTCAGCACAGCGAATGCATCAGCGGCTTTCCTCCAGACAAACATGCAATATTGATTCCCTTTTTGGGAGCAGGTCATATTTTATGCATTTGTTTTAAAGATTTGTGATATTGTGCTGCCGGAATATAAAAAGACGGAGCTGTGTGGTTTTTAATGATGAGCGACACAGACGTGCACTCACCTGTAAAAGCCCATATGTGCACGTGAGGTAATTATTAACACACACACACACACTTCTCAGCTGTCGCCGCAAACAACTTTGTTTACTCACGCCGGTGCATTTCCTTCGTTAAATTTTAAACAGGCAGGAAATTGATACGTCAACAGTACACGGCGTCCAGATACTGTGGCCCGGAGTATTTACTATAATGGAAAAGGAGCAAATAACAAATAATAAACCAAATCAACAGGAGAGCGGGAACGACGACGGCTGTAAAACACCACAGCTAATGTTCACGCTGACGACGACCAGCGGCTGACATCATGAAGACGGATACCTGCACACCTTCACTGGCAGAGAGAGATACACGGAGAATCAACATCAGCAAGAAGCAGAGCCAATCAATGAAGACCTCCAGAACCACTGTCACCTCAGCAGCTACAGCAGTCGTGCTCATCTTCAGTGAAGGCCACACATGTTTCACAACAGTGTGAAATATAAACAAGTTTTTTATATTTTTAACAGGCGTTATTTTATACAATATATTTATCGTACAACCTATTCTACCTCAGCACGGCAATCTTTTATTGTTGAGTTGCTGCAACAAGTCAGTTCAAAACAAAGTGTGATCCAATCCAATCCAGTTTAATATAATCTAATTTAAGTAATCCCATTTAATCCAACCCAATCTAATCTAATCCCATATGATCTAATGTAATCTAATCTAATCTAATTCAACCCAATCTAATCTAATCCCATATGATCTAATCTAACCTAATGTAATCTTAACTAATCTAATCTAATTCAACCTAACCCACTCTAATCTAATCCCATATGATCTAATCTAACCTAATGTAATCTTAACTAATCTAATCTAATTCAACCTAACCCACTCTAATCTAATCCCATATGATCTAATCTAACCTAATCTAATTCAATCCAACCCAATCTAATCCCATATGATCTAATCTAACCTAATCTAATTCAATCCAACCCAATCTAATCCCATATGATCTAATCTAACCTAATCTAATTCAATCCAACCCAATCTAATCCCATATGATCTAATCTAATTCAACCCAATCTAATCTAATCCCATATGATCTAATCTAATATAATTCCATATGATCTAATCTAATCTAATCTAATCTAATCTAATCTAATCTAATCTAATCTAATCTAATCTAATCTAATCTAATCTAATCTAATCTAATCTAATCTAATCTAATCTAATCTAATCTAATCTAATCTAATCTAATCTAATCTAATCTAATCTAATCTAATCTAATCTAATCTAATCCAATCTAATCTAATCCAATCCAATCCAATCCAATCCGGTCCTATCTTTGTCAAATTCCGGGGGACGTTTTCCCTTTAACACCTCTGAATCTGAAACTTTTCTGTGACATTTGAACACAACACGACTCCACAGGAGCAGAACAGGTTCCACCTGAAGACGCCGAGGTAATGACAGCCCCACAGTTAGTCAGAGGCTGAGAAGATTATGTCCTAATTAAAGTCCTAATTATGAAAATGATATTCCTGTCTGTACCAACAGATCCCACAGACTGATCCTTTAATCTGCTGCGTCTAAATGTGCTGTCCATGCTGGAGCTCTGTAGACGAGGAGGAGGAGGAGGAGGAGGGACCTGGTACAGGGATTGGTTACTTTCATGAGTTACGATAATAACAGTCACATTTCTACATAGGCAGAGTTGAGGTGAGGTGAGGAGTGACGGCAACCACGAGACAAGGCAAAAAAAAAAATCTATTACACAAATAAGGGACAAAACAAAGACTTATAACGACCGACTACACAAATTTTAATTAGTCCAATTTAACATCAAAGACCAGTAATATGTAATTAATTTACAGTCCTGGAGCAGGTTTTAGGAAGAACTGCATTGCGTTTGTAAAATCTGATCCTATTTAAAGGAAAACAGATTTTAATGAATAGTAGGATGAAGACATTAAAGTAGGCAACATGTGTAATTGAAAGCTAGAGCATCCAATAGGAGACTGGCAACACCAGTCAATCAGAGTTGTCTATTATGTTCAACTGAAAAACCAACATAAACAGCGACTAAAAAGAAATCACAGGAATTCAAAAAAAACTTTACTGATGGAATAAAACTGTTGAAAAAGAAATCACAGGAATTCAAAAAAACCTTTACTGATGGAATAAAAGTGTTGATGGATTTCTATAGACTTAGAGAATATTTATATAATATTTATAAAGGCTACAACAGCACATACGGTACCTTTGTCTATTTTATGACATTGGGGGAAAAAAAAGACTTGTTTAAAACAAACAAACCAAAACAAAAACCAACCAGCTCCTGTCTTTCAAGCCTAACTTTGGTGTTTGTAGTTTATTCTGAAGCATACACTCGTCTGCTACCTACATAAAGTACACCTTTACCACGTGGCTGATTCTGCCCCGTCAGTCCAAGGCCCAGTGTCACTGAAGTTCGCTCACACATGTATGTATTCAGTCATTAATTTACATTTTTCCTTTCATAACATTCAAAGAAACGTGAAGCCTCCGCGCCGTGTTAATCCAACAAATGTTGACTCTTTGAAGAACTGACCTTGTAAGCATTTCATTTGCATTCAACTCAGGCAGATGTAAATATTTGTCAACATATATGTTGCATATAAATATGTATAGATGGTCTTTATTTATTTTAATCAGAAAAAATGTTCTCCTCTGAGAGATTTAAGATCTACGACGATTGGTAGGGACCAAGAGAAGAGAATAAAAAATAAAATCAATACAAATGTGAAATTAAAGTCGTAAATTTATGAGAATAAAGTCGGAGTTTTATCAGTAAAAAATTGTAAATGTACAAAAAAAGGTCATCATTCTATAAGAATAAAGTAATAAAAATAAAGAAAAAAGTTGTAACATTAGATTTTTTCATAAAATTACTACTTACCCTTGTAAATTTCCAACTTTTTTATCATAACTTTAAGACTTTTTTCATAATATTTTGACTGTCATAAAACAAGACCTCTTCCTTTTTCAAGACTTACTCATACATTTACGACTTTAATCCTTTATAACACTTTAACTTTTTCTAATAACTCTACGACTTTATTCTTACAAATTGACAATATGGTCCTAATACCATGTCGTAACGATCCGATGAAGACACAGAGGGAATTCCAGTAGGAATGAGCTGCTTCAAAGTCAACGAGATGCAAAGTCAACGAGATGTGAGGAACATTCTGCCCTAGTGTACGTTTTGCCATAATAACAGACTGTAACACAAATGACTTTTTCTAATAAAACTCCACTCGTGCTTTCACCCGGGTCAGCGCAGTGAGAGCAGACGCACCTGTTATAACTTCTTCAAAGAGAGTGTGAACCAAGGTTGACTCTTCTTTTCAGCTGCTGCAGCTCAGACTCATCTTTGTGATGAAATAATCAAATCCAGCCAACCTTGGTTTTCTGCAGACCAGTTCACATGACTCTGCTCTCACTGCCACACGGTTACGTCGAGCAGTGTCATTAAGTGAAAAGAGAAATATCTCATTCTTGGCTTCGAAATGAATAAACACAGACAGTGAAAATATCTGTACTGCAGTGGATTTAGAAAAACAGAAATGTGAGGCAGACAGAGGGGAGAGAGAAAGAGAGAGAGAGCAAGAGAGAGAGAGAGAGAGAGAGAGAGAGGGAGAGGCAGACTGGAATGAAAGCAGACGTGGACAACGTCCCTCGTGGCCTCGGTCTCCCAAAAGCACACGACCCAGACTCACCTCCAACTATCATGACGGCCAAAGAGGAAACTGCTGCGAAACCAGACGGCTCCTCGACGTCTCCAGAAATATAGAAATACAACTTCGTTTTCCTGAGGAAAAGAATGAAAAACAAACCTGAAGATGAGGCAGAAGATTCTGTGGGACTGTCATGAGCAGCTTACACTCTGTAGGCACTGTTATAGACCACACTTTGATGAAATATCAGGTGAAGGAGTAGAGCACTGAAGATGAGACTACACCAGTGGTTGCCAAAGGGGGGGGCGCAGATCTATTGCTGAGCAGCGCAGGAAGGCGACATATTTTTTTTTTATTTTCAGTATTGTTGCCATGTTGAGGGAGTTGATGAGGGTTCTACGGTCCTCTGGACTACTCTCTGTGTGTTTGTGTCTACCAGTTGATTGTTGTTCTGCTGCTGCCACTGCTCCACATCACAGAGATCCTCCCCGATGATACAGTCGCTCACATCGTCAAGACTAACCGCTAATTACGTGACCTCCTGATACTACAACAGCGAGGAGGTATGAAGCTCCAACTTCTCACTTTCGTCTGATTACTGCACAGTCATTTCCCCCTCCTGTGCCAATTACAGTCCCGGTGATGCAGGCCCCAGATGTTCCATGCTAATAATGAACAGAGTGCTAATGCAGCGTTCATCGACTGGGATCTGCAGCTACCTGTGTCGACTGCTGCGTGCTACACTGACAGCCTGGCACTGCAGAACAGCAGAGTGTGAAGTAAATAGAGCTGACGGCTTCAATTAGAGACTTAATGTCTATGAGGGGTCTGGGCAAAGGCCAGAGGAAAATAAGGGTCACGGGAAGGAAATGTTTGAGGCTCGGCCGCTGAGAGGAGAGTCGCTGGAGATCGAAGAGCAAAGGGTTCCCTGAGGCCTTACTGAAGGATGGTCCCAGTAAACAAAGGATGACAGAAATAAACATCCATCTTCTCTGGCCTCCTCTCCACAGTAAAATGATCTGTTGGTATCGTTGTCTTATTTATAGCTACTGTACTGTAGATTTTTGCCTGGTCTAATCGTAAATATATCGGTGCATCCCGGTAAACTTGTTTTTGTTAGCATGTTCCCTCATTAGAGTCAAAAAATGCATTATTATCAAGTGGTGCAGTAGTAGCATTTACCGGTATACACACTGCCCCATGTGGTCATGGCTGATATGGCACATATTTTTGATATAAAAGTCGCTGTATATGAAAAAAATATTTGTTATAAAATTCAATGAGCTCTATTTTTCTATTTTTTCTTCTTTGAATCCGAAACAGATGCCATTCAGATATTTTTGGCTAAAGATGAGCCTCATAGGGATTTGTCTGCAGTTTGCATGTTAGTCATATAAGAAAGACTTGCAAATCAGTACAATTGTGCGTGGGCTAGTGATTTATCACATCCATTTGATGACCTCGCCAAAAAAAAAAATCTTTATTTATAAACTTACCATTTTGGCTAACTTCCAGTAATTTCTAGAAAGATTTTTTTGTTAATTCACAAATCTGTTTGGTTATATTTATGCTACTTTTAACTACCTTTATGCTATCCTTTTTTGCTAACTGTCATCTATTTGTGGCGAGGACACATGGCTTCAACTTGTTCACTCTGCAGTAACCAGCCACAATAGTTCAACCATATTTTTCCGCTGCGTCCAAATTGTTAACTCAGACTTTCCAGACAGTCCATCGACTCAGAGGTTTTTAAAAAGAATCATAAACAGTGGCTGCACATTTGTTTCCATTCACCTGATAATAACCCTGGGTGGAAATACCAGCAGTTTATAGGAGAGGGAAAAAAGGCAAAAGATTAAAACAAAGTTTCAAGTTTACTCTTGACCTTGGAGACAAAAACCCAGGAAACAAATTCACCCTTTGAGCTGAGGAGAAAAATGGAAATTCTGACATCTCTAATTCCAGTAACGACTGCATCTCTGCTGCAGAAAATCAACTCCAGACAATACAAATGCCAGCACAGGTGGAAGAGAAGCAACAAGACGCTGTGGTGAATGAATAATTGGTCCTTGACAAGTGATGTAATCCTGTCAGCCTCTGTTAGATGCATCGTATTTGTGACGGCAATTATTCCAAAGGGTATCGGTTCAGGGTCGATCACACAGGTGCTAAATTTACACAGCAATGGAGGGAGGATGAGCTCCAGTGTGTGGATGTAGTTTCAGTCCCCTGACGGGCAGTGGTGTGGGGGCTCAGATCTGACAGGACAAATTAATGTGACAAAAAAAAGAACAAAAGAAGAAGAAGAAAGAGAAAAAGAAGGAAAGAAAAGACTGTCCTTCCTAATGTTTACAGTGACTGTGTGCTCAGATTAATCACACAACACTCAGGACGTACGCAACCTGGGACGATGTCGTCGTTTGTCTCCCTGATCACCCGCACTTAAGGAAGGATGTTATTGGATTATGTCTGTGTATGTGTCTCTCTGTGTGTGTACTAGGGTGTGTGTTTATACATGTGTGAAGAATTGTATGGCAGGAAGTTACTGTGAGCTCCCCAGGACCTGAAATGCATGCTGGGAGCTGAACCTGAGGGGGAAAATAAACATATTATGGAGACACAGCTGCAGACACAAACAACACACACACACACACAGTCAGAACAAGGTTCACTTTACGTTCACTGTAACTGCTAGTTCCTGCTACGATCATGGTAACGAAACACTCAGCTCTTGACTTAACAGTATTTCCCAGGACATTACAACGACTTAGAAAAGATAAAACACACTGGTCAACTACCAGACCAATGTCAGCAACATTCTTAACTGACAGAAGCTCCAACAAAACTTCTCAGAGGGAATTTTTCTGAACAGACACCATGGGGGCTAAACACTCGCGCGGGCCAATTAGCATCAACTGGCAGCCGACAGGTCGCTAATTGATGATCACTGTCACTAAAAATGTACTGCAGGAGTGACCGGTGTCGGACATTTGAACAGAAGCAACTGCTGATGCAACTTCTCTATATGACGTCATGAAGTGACCACTAAAAACGACTTAGGCCAAATCTCATTTCATGGTTTACACCGGTCTGCAGCCCAAACCTTATGATGAATTGAGACACAGCTGACGTGTGTCTCCCTGTGCTTCTAAATTTGAAGTATAATGTTTAAAAAGAAAATGGTACCAAGAAGAGAAGGCACGTTCTACATCTGACTTGGCTAAATTTAACAGACAAGGTGTGAACGTGTGCGCGAGCATGGTCACCTTGGGAAATAAAAATGCTGACCCATTTCAATACACCTGTGTCTCACTGCACTCTTGCCAAGAACTCAATCAACCCTTCCCCCAACGCACACACACACACACACACACCCAGACTCCTCTGACACACACACACCTGCAGAACAACGCTGTTTCAGACCCAGTACAAACCTATTTTGTTCAGGCAACAAATAAACTCTTGGTTAAGTCGGATTATGAGTTGTTCTCACAAGCAGATAAAAATCGCACAGACGGACGATGGCTGGTATTTTGCTGCTATTTTTGTTGCTGTGTTTGTGCCTGTGCTCGTGGAGGAACATCATTTTTATTTGCCGAGTTCAAAACCCGGAGGAGTCTGGTCAGGGAAAGGTCAGAGCTCTTCAAAGAATCCTGAGGTTGCATAAAAGGGAAGACACTGCTGGAATTTGCAGGTTTGTATGTGTGTGTGTGGGGAGGGGGGTGTTTATACTTTACTGATCTCCACATCAAGTGGGCAGTTCTTGAGAACAATAGAATGAGGCAGCAGTGATGTATTGTACACTAATGCTTATCAAGGGGAACAATGGAGTGCAGATACTTCTTGTTTGTCTCTTTTGGTCTTCCTTTGTTTATTTGGGCTTTGGGGGAGGGGGGGGGGGGGGGGACAGGGGGACCATTCTCTGACCAAAGATGTTCAGAAAATCCCAGTCTCATTCTAGATACTTCCACCAAACCTCGGGTCTCATGGTGCATTAAAAGACCAGCCAGGTGACGTAAGAAACCAAGAATGTGACCAGCAGGGTTTCTACATTTAATTATTCACAATACAGAGTTCAATGGGTGGAGGCGGGGCCAAATCGACCACGTTGCGGCCAATAACGTGAAGTTAAATAGGCCGCATGTGTTCCTGACTGTGGACAAACTGAAATGGCACAGAGCGTGAAGACGCTGCTGTGAGCAGCTGCAGCTGACTGTGTTACATCAGTTCAACCCTAACACTTTTGTACATTTGTATTTACATTTATATTTACAGTTAAGATCATGTCATTGTCATGGACTGTACTTATTTGTTACATCAGTTCAACCCTAACACTTTATATTTGTATTTACATTTACATTTACAGTTAAGACCATGTCATTGTCATGGACTGCACGCACCATTTCGGTTGAAGATATGACCAACTGTTGAGACAGACCGACTGAGAGAATATTTGTTATGTTGTCAACGCCTGGTAACTGGTTTAAAAATACTTTTTTATGAAAAATATATATTTCAAACGGTTATTATTGTAGAATAGGAGGATAAGAAAAATACATGTGTGTTATAAAACAATGGTCTTATGGCAATTAGCATAAACTAAGACCTCAAACAAACAAACGTCTTTGTGTTCAATGTTGAAACAAACAGGACTAATGTCTTTAAACCGTTTTTAAATCGATGTTTACAGCAGCATTTCTTTAAATCGGTAACTTAAAATAAAAATATAAAACTGTTAAGTTGTTACTTACACAACAAGACTCCGGGGTATGTGCTCGTCACTTCCTTTACGGACACTCAGAAGCGTCGTTGTCGTCGCGTGATTTTGATTGCGTGATGCAAAAACAAAAAACAAAACCGCAACTCGAGATTTCCGGCGGAAACGGCGACCTGTACTTGCGCGTTTATGACAACATTACGGTGGAGAAACAACCGTGTCCCGTTGGTGCGTTCAGGAGCGTCTTCAAAAAATAACTACAGGGAGAAACGAGGACGCCAGATAAATAAATAATAGACATATAAATAACAGAAGAAGAAGAGTTCTGCTTTGCTATGCTAATGCTAACCGCTAGCCATTAATTTAAAATAAAAATTGAGGCTTAAAAATAATGTCAAATCGATGTAATACAATTAATACTTTTAATACTTATTTAATTCTGATTGTATTAAAGCCATTTCCCAGTTAAAACAAACAGCTGCGGTTCTTCATACTTTGTTTTGTTTCCTTCTTTTCAGGACTTTTTATTTGCAGTTGACACAAAGGCAGAAAATGTTCTCAGCTTTTCTTACAAAGACAAAAACACCCGAGTATTCTGATGAAACCAGATGAATACAGGGAGTCCTGAAGAAGTGCTTTAACTGAGTAAACACTAAATTAAATTCTGTCTCAACTTTACATTCTTTAGGAAAACAAACACACACACACACACACACACACAATACCCAGCTGCTGGACTGTGTCACTCAGCACAGGTGTCCAAAAACTTATAGTGTTTCATTCATCAGTGTGAGCGTGAAACCTGCAACAACTGTGCACTATCAACATCTCTCTCTCTCTCTCTCACACACACACACGCAGTGAGAGCGACACAGAAACAGCTGCACCCTGATGAATGCCCTACATTCATTCCACAGGAAGCTGCTTCATCTGTCACCCCTGACGCAACCCTTCCACCCTTTTCCCTTCCAAACACACACATGCACACACACTAACCCCAGTTCTCTCTCTCTCTGATTAGACTCCCAGCTGCTCTCTCCGACAAATGCTCCTTTGATGCGTCTTCCCGGGGGCCAAAGCCACCATCATCACCACCCTCCTCCTCCTCCCTTTTCTCTCCTCGCCTCTTTTCTTGCTCTTTGCTTCCTGCCTGACATTAAAGTCACTTCCAGCAGCCCCCTTCCTGAAACCAGTGCTCCCCACTGTCCTTTTCAGCAGCAGCATCAGCATCAGCAGCAGCAGCAGCAGCAGCATCAGCTCTGTCCTCCAGCTAGAAGATGAGAGGAGCTGTGAGATGGAGATTTTGTCCTCATCATTTAGAAGTTTTATTTTCCGGCACAGTTGCCGTCCACTTTAAAGTCCTCAGTTAATATTCCTGCGTCAGTGCCATGTTAATGGGATGCGGCTTCACATGTGCACGGCTCTGCTCTCACAGTGTGACAGCGGCGGGCTCATCTCACCTCCTCTCAGGTCACGAGTCGTCAGGAGTCCTGCAGGAGGCCTATGAACCGAGCCGCCGGGTAAACGAGAACGAGGAGCGGCTCAGACTCCACAGCTCCGTGAGGACGGTGATGATAATTAAGCCAGCAACACGGCAGGATGTCATCTCACGTGTTCATTTCCTGTCCGTCTCCACTGGTTTATTTTTATGCACCTGGTTCATACAGAGACATACATTGAGCAGCCACTTCATTAGAGGCTAATGAGATGACCTGGGTGGTCTGCTCCTGGTCCGACTGGTTCAGGGTGTGACAGGGTCTGAACATCTTCTCACCCATGTCATGGTCTCGACCAGGCGTGGGCAAACCTTTTGACCACAATTGTCCTAAAATTGACCGGGGGGAGGAGGGGATCAGGAGCAGATAGATGGAGCGTTGGTGTGAACTAAGATAAAAGTCATGCATAAAGGCTAAAATGCTTTTATCATTTTCTACGCCATCTATTGGGGAAACTTAGGTATTGCAGGGAAAAGGCAGAAGTATAATAATAATATAAATAAATTATATAATTTGAAAAAAAATTGGTGGGCCGGATTAAAAAGCTAGACGGGCCGCATCCAGCCCCCGGGCCTTAGTTTGCCCAGGCCTGGTCTAGAGCATCAAACTGACTGGAATCTTCTTCCTACCATAAAGGTTTTGAACTGAAATATTAATGAAAAATTAAGATAATATATTTAATTTATTTAACAAAACTTAACTTCTGTCGATGTCATACAGCTGTCTTCACTAAAACTTCTAAGTTTGCACAGACGATGGTCACGTGTTGGTCAGTGGTTTTGCCACCAGCATTTTTTAAGGGGATTTTACGTGCTTGAATTGTGCACAAATAAATAAATAAACAAAGTGAAGAAAAAGTTCTTGATCTTTTTTTCTTTGTCTCGTCATGGTTTACTGCGACACAAAGACATCTGCCTCGATGCTTATGTCAGTGATGAAGTCCCCTAAATGTTAGCTTTACTTGACACCAAACTATTTGCTAAGAATCTGACATTTCTATTAAAAAACATGACATTATGGAGAGCATTTGACCTGAATTAGGATGCAATCGAACCCCTGACCCACTGTTTCGAAACACTGTCTACCTATTATCCATTGTAAACATTTGGAGCAGTATGCTAGCTAAACAGTAAAACATCCAGACACACACACACACACAGGGTGAACCATCATAACACACACACACACACACAGAGTGAACCATCATAGAGGCTTTATTTGATCCTGTTTACAGTTGAGGTTTCTCAGATTTAAAACAGAGCCACGCTGACGTCCACAGAACAGTGTTTCTAATCCAAACAAATGCCGTTCCATTAGGGGCAGACACGCCCTGCTGAGGAAACCAAATCAGTGTGTTTCTGTGGCCTGTGCTTCACAGCTGATTCAGGTTGACGTGCAGCTTCCAGCGAGCGGTCAACCTCTGCTGCTGACTGTACCGCGTGCAGCCTCAAACCTGCTGAAGCATCATCCATCACGGCGTCCGCAGTCAGCCTTCATTAAAATGACTCCATCTCCTGATGGGTGTTGTTACAGTTTAGGACACGGGTGTCAGACTCTTAACCCGAGCACACGTGGCTACATGTCATCTGTCCTGTGTGATGACGAGGATGAAGGTTTGACTGCAGGGCAGCAGAGGTGAAGCAGAGGTAATAACAGAGCTCTGTGGAGGCGTTAGTCCTCAGACCTGGAAGAGTTTGGGTCTTGTAGCTGGACCTACCTTTGGACTTGTGTCCAAGTGCCTCATCAGGTTTATTGATGCTTGACATGACTGCAACCACGGGAGAGGAATCCTAACCCCAGAAAACTCAGGGTGGAGTTTAGCATTAGCTCGATTGATGCTACTTCTAATAAATCTGAGTAAAGTGGGATTTTTTGCAATTTTTTTTTTTTTGATTTTCTAAGGCATTGGTTCTCAAACTGTGGTATGCGACCACTCTCTAGTGGTACGCGGTGAGCTCAATGTTTTCTCAGTTGGTAAAGAGTTTAAAAATTTTGAGAACCACTGGTCTATGGCAATGGAACTGATTAGCTATATTAACGCGACACTTCTTTTTCCACTCAAATGTCGAGAAATAACCTTCATTTAAAATGTTTTGCCTTTTTTTAAACTCCTTACAGTAAGTCTTTGACCTTGTGCTTGATTTCCTAAAATCCTCCTAATAAAAGCCTATCCCAGATACACTACAAGTTTAAGTCACTTTTCCCTTAAATTGGCTAACTCACTGGTAAGCTAGCATTTTTTATCCGTAAGATTAGCCAGTATTAGTTGGATGTAGAATGTTTGGACAAAGTATTATAAAATGTATAAACCTAAACCTAAAACTTTAATGAAAATTTAGCACATTTGATGTCGTCGCCATCTAGTGGCATCACGTAGAATCACAGTGGATTTTTTGAAATGCATGAAACAGAAGGATTGACATCCGTCTTTACCATACCTTTCGTCAGTGTTTGAAATCACAGTGGGCCATATCTGGCCCACGGGCCATAGTTTGCCTGATCTGGACCACATTAAACAAAGGACAATGACCCACGGAAAATGGTTGATGGCATTACTTGTGTTTTTTGTTTGCATTTTTTCACATTTAATGTAATTTTTTTGTTCTGTGCATTTGTCGATGACACCATTCTGTTCATTAATTACTTTCCTTGGTCTAATAAGGCTGGGTTGATTTTCATGACCTAATTTTTACTGTTGGTTAACAGTGATGATGAACAGTAAAGGACCAGTCCAGGTAGAGCAGCCAGAGGTTAGCTTGTGTATATGGTTCTTTATTGCACACATGACATTTATTCTCCTTTTAATGTTTGGTGTGAGCAACAATATAATGCAGTACATGTTGAACAGCCTAGGCTAACGCTCTCTGTATATATATAAAAAAAAACTCCAAGAAAACACAAAACAAAAAGCTACTTTACATTAAAACTTACAAAACGGAAAAAAAATAATTCTTGTTTTAGTGCACCAGTGAATAGATGAGGAACTCCAGGTACACAGTATATCATACTGGTATACAGTATATCATACTGGTATACAGTATATCATACTGGTATACAGTATATCATACTGGTATAGAGTATATCATACTGGTAGAATTTTAGGAAAAAAGTTTTCGAACTTCCTTTTGCATATTTAATCACAGGGAAAAAAAATTAATTCCAGTTGGGATCATTTATTTGAGGTGTTCTTTTTTATGCATTTACCCTTTAAATCACCTGAGTGCCACATGGCTGAGACCAATACTGATTGGTTGAGCTGCTGTTTAACTGATTGGAGGAATGTTTGTTAAACAGAACAGAGGAAAAAAAGAAAGACTGGCAGGTGAAAAGGTTGGTTAGTAGATCAAAATACACTGAATGCCCTGCGACGGATTCAGGAAGCACTGAGAACTCGGCCAGAGGTGGCAGTAGTGTGCAGACAGCAACTGGTCCAATCAAAACACGAGGTTCTCAGTGAGCAAAATAATAATAATAAAAAAAAGATAAAACCATTAAATCCACATTTAATGGTTGGGAAAAGAAACAGCGACCAAATTGAGGTCATTCTGTCCAAACCTTTATGTACATTGTGCTGACGGTAAAACATGCTTTTAGTCAGACAGGTAAGTACAAAAATATGTCTTTTTAAACTCTAGGCTTTAAGGCACTTTGTGGAGTCGGATTAAAAAAAATGTGGGCAGCGTTTGAAAAACGTGCTGTAGAAAAAAAAAATCAACCTTCAGTATAATTTCTTTATTTTCGATATTTTTTCTCCGAGTCGAGACATAGAAAAGGTTTGACATTTAAATGGCTAACAGGCAAATTTTAGCTCAAGTCGCTCGTTTTGGCCCGAAATGAATCAATCAGAAAACATTAAAAGGCCAATCTCACTTTATAAATACGAAAATATCAAATGTCTTCAGAAAAAAAATCTGTCTCTACTCGGTGGCAGAGACAGAAACACTCAGTTCCTTTAGATTAAACAAAAGCTAATTTTAAAGGCAGGGTTGTTTAGTGTGACGTTAGACACTTTAGATTCTTGGACTTTGCTACAACATGAGGAGGAAAAAAAAAAATTCACACCACTTGAGGCCAAGTTGTTCTGCAGCATACAGATGTGTAGGTTAAAAATCAGTGGTTAAGTCAGTGGGTTAAAGTTATGGTTGGGATTAATGGATTAATTCTGCATGTGTTTTTGTCAGTGTCAATACCTTGAATTAGTGGGAAGAGGAGGAGGAAACAAGAGGCTGAGCAGTCAGAGTGGGCTAGATGGACGGAACCAGGGAAGAGGGGACTGGCAGTAGTAGAATATCCAACACACACTGGCAGTGTTTTAGACCAAACAAACAAACAAACAAAAACAATTCTCCAAGTAATACAATAAATACTAGGTAGCTGAACGTCATGTGAGCGCTTTACACTGGAAGGAATAGAGTAATACGGTTGTTTTGATCCCAAAGTACTTCATCTTGGCACTGGTGTGTTTGTGTGTCCAAGCATTATGGACGCTCCCAAATGGCCCAGTATTAGCCATTATACCAATAAACTGAATGGGGTGGGGGAGTGGGGGGGTCTGTTCACCAAACAGACAGCAGCTGCTGATCACTGCGTCGCCGCCATCTACATCATAACAGGCCATGGAGGAAACGCAGGGAGACACAAAAGGACCGGAGACAGCTCACAGTTACTGCCCAGAACATGTGCCCCAGTATCTGCCACGAATACCCCAGGCAGTCAAATGTGTATTGTGTGGTGATGAGATGTTCTGCTCTACATATTCACAGTTAAATGAATCCTTCTGAGATGAATCACGTGCAGTCATTTTGCACAGATTGTTACCAGCCATGCACGGACGGACGGACGCCAAGAGAAAAATAAAAAATGAAAGAGAGCGCGTCTGTGCAAAATGTTGGATTTGTTCAGAAAGACGAGGTTTTGTCGACTGTGTGAGAGAAAGGTCTGGGTCATCCTTTCAACTTCCCATTTCTGTGGTGAGCTGCCATGGCTACGGTCGTGTTGGTGACTACAGTCGTCCACTATTCCAGGCTTAATTAATCAAATTTATATTCCAGACCAGCAGGAGGCAGTATGCACTTCAGGATGTTTGTGCTTACAGTATGTTAACATCCAAGGCGGCAAGACTTGGTCTTCGTACTAACGCAACGGTTTAGCGATTGATCGCTGCAAACGACCTAGCCAACAACTCTCCTGAATCTCACTTTAATAGGCTAGGCTAGTTTTATAGGCTAGGCTAGTTTAATAGGCTAGGCTAGTTTAATAGGCTAGCTTATGCCTTACACCGTTCTCGAATTCCTGATCTGACTTGGAATTGAGACAGACGATGT